CCCGGCTCACTGTTATGTTATCTCTTCGTGACACATAACATGATTTGAGATTTCTTTTAAATTAATAAACTTAATTTTTAGGTTTACAGTTTTAGATTTACAGAAAAATTGAACAAAGAGTATAGAGTTCCCTTTACTTCTCCCCTGCCTCCCTAAACGATGTCCCCTATCACTAACATCTTGTATTGGAGTGGTATATCTGTTACAATTGCTGAGCCAATATTGATAGAATTAACCAAAGTCTATAGTCTAGACTAAGGTCACTCATACTGTTGTACATTCTATGGATTTTGACAAATCCATAGTCATATACGGGGGTGGGGGGGCAAAAGTAAACTACTACTACTACTACTACTAATAATAATAATAATGAATACAGAATTAATAAATAATAATACAAGAATAAGCTCTGTGTTTTGTGTACTCACAACTGTAAGCCTACTTTTGCCAACCCCTGTATTCACTATTATCATATACAGAATAGCTTCACTGACCTAAAAATTTGCTTCACCTATTCACTCTACCCCACCCAACCTCTGGCAGCCACTGAACTTTATATTGTCTCTAGAGAGATGTCTCTAGAGATTTGCCTTACAGAATGTCATATACCTGGAATCATACAATATGTTCACTATTTGATTTTTTAAATATTATTTTTTTAAAAATCCCTCATGAGAACAGAGACCGCCTCTGTCTTGTTCTTTCCTTTGTCCACAGTACCAACAACAGACCCTCAGTGGATCCTCTGTAGGAATTTGTGGATTGAATGAATAGATGAATCTATCCACCAACCCCATAAAGTGCAACCACCTACACTTTTGAAATACTCTTTTCTTGAATTGCTCTGGTAACTTGGGAGCAGACTTAATCCAGGTTTCAGACTTTTCCACTGATGCTTCGCAGATATTAGGAAAAGAAAAGTTGCTCCCCGGCTCCACGTGGTTGAGGGTGTGACTGCTCTGGGACCTTTTGCCACCCGAGACCAATATCTCACAGAGGGATTTTCCCAGTCATTTTAGACTCATGGGTGCTCCTTGGGTTAGAAATGCAGACTCTTACATATTAATGGCTCCCTCATCCTCTCATAATCACAGGCTGATCATGGATCTGCTGCCTCACTTTCCTCCCTTTAACCTTGCCTTTGCTCTTCCAAATCTTACCATTTACCCCTAAACAATTACCATTTTTCTCACTCTTTACCCCTTCTATCTTCTGTCCTCACATCAGTGAAGGAGAAACACATACTAATGTGACTGACAAGAGCGAGCACGCCATTGGAGATGTCCTGTGCTAAGAAAATGAAGAGCCAGATGTTTTAAAGTACAATGAACTCTAACCAGAAACCATACCTTCTAAACCACTGGGAACTGCCCAGAGGTCTCCGCCACAATTTCCATAACCTCCAACCTTCTCTCGTTAAAGTGCTTTCCCCTTAACCTCTACCATCAATAGATACAAATCAATTTCCTCACTCAATTCTTAAACAATTCTGTTGTTTATTGGGCCACAATTCGTAGAAATCTTTTTTAATGCCTGGCCCATAGGAGGTCCCTCCGAATTTATTAGGATGGAAGCTTTAGGGTGTTTTTACTACTTCCTATATTTAGATTCAAGGAAATATGCTTATCATCACCTTAGTCAAGGCCTTAATTGTTTTATAGCCCTCAAGTGTGGGCCTGCTCAGCCTCTGTCTATTCAAACAGCCCTAATCGGTCTAACATAAACCCTTTCCCAGCAGGGGGAGCACAAATGAGGGAACAAAATCCAATAGAACACTGGCAGCACTGATGATTGCAGAAAGAATAAATAGCAGGATGTCTTTTGGGGGGTATTTGAAATGTAAGAAAGGAATGTTTTTAAAAATATGCAAGATTAAAAAGAATGCAGCACACAGATAAAAGTTACTGAAACCCATTTGTAAACTTCAAATATTTTGTTACATCACAGTATTTTGAAAGAATAAGAAAATCTGTTTCTATTTGAAGGTAACTGTTAACTCATTCAATACCAAAGAGCATTGCCTAGTTTAATGAGTTTAGATTTACTTGGGGTTCTATTGTTTTTAAAATTAGAAATATACCTTTAAAGACTTAACATTCATAATTTGTAATTTAAAGAGCTATTTGCAGTTATACTTTTATAGTGTTCATTTACCTAAAAACATTAGTTGGCGGTGAATTGTGCAGCCTTTGGGTCTATAATATCTTTTCATGCCTGGAATTTCATAAAATGCTTTCAGGGCCCTTTTAAAAAGAAGTTAGTTAATCAAACACTTTTTAATGAGTAACCTTGCCTCTAAGACGTATTTCTTTTAAAAAGTGTTCCATAAAAGTGATATAAATGAAGAAGTAAAGTAAGCCCCAAGTGCGCCCGTGGGACTTGAATGGCTTTGAGGGCTTTGATGACCCCGGGGAACCACTTTCTAAAGCTTCATTCTCAGCGTTGATCAAGTTACTAAAAGCCTAGTGCAATCCCAGCTCCATTCTGCAGGTCAGAATCCACAACTGCGTAGGTTTCCTTTAGCTATCACTCCGCTGTCAGGTATGAAATCCCCCAATTTTGCAGGGTCGCAGTCTTGCTTCTGTGGCCGGTCTTTTCAGCATTCATTTGAATGGCAAATGTCACCACTAATATTAAGGAGTGGGCTCAGCAAAGGATAAAATAGATAAAGAAGCACACTTACCATCAAGCATGTTACTATCATAACAAAGATGCTGAGAAATATGACAACGGCATAAAATCCTTCTTTGCTCCAGATTTTGTCCGCTTCATGCTGCCCTTGCAGAACATTTTTCTTTAAAAGCAAAACAGAAAGTCCGGCGTTAGATGAGAGCTGGAGGAGACTGGCGTTCTTATCAGACACTACGCATATTTTTAGCTTTCTCCCATTCAGTGTAGTAGCACACACCTACATTCCGCGCTGCCAGCGCTGCTCCTCCAACTGCTCCGAGACAAGGCACTGCCCCCTCAAAGAGAGTATTTCATCTCCTGCCCAGGAACAGACAGGCCCCGCATGCCAGGCCCGGTCCCAGCTTCGTAAATGTCCCTCCCATCTCTCTTGGAAATGACCTGGTTCATAGGTAAGAGAGTTCCGTTCTGTTGTGCGTGGAGGAAATTGTTTCTGAAGCTTTCTTGACTCTGTGTGAAGTCCCCTCCCACAACACCACCCTGGTTTACGTGCTGTAATACAGCTCTTAACTTTTCAACAAAAGTGAAACAGGTGCAAACAAAAGCTCATAATGCATTGACCAACAGAGCAACGATGTCAGAATCATTTCCTTCTCCTTTTTCCTCCTCTGTTATCAAATCTTTTCATTTTTTAAAAATGCAGTCTTATTTGTCAAAAATCTGATTAAAGTACCAACCTCAACTACATAAATTGTTAGAATATTACATTTTATTTAAGCATCAGGGAACACCAAAAAGAGTCCAGAATTATTTAGTAAAAAAAAAAAAAAGGTGAAATAAATAGTTTTATTTTTATTTATACTTTTTTTGTTTACTACTTTGGGAGTGGAAAAGCATGAATAAAATGTGAATGAGTGAAATTTTATTTCACCTACTCTTTTTTTAAAAAAGTATATCTACTAAATCAAGTTTTACAATGTAATTAGTTTTATGATTCAGTGAAATTTATAGATTTATAGTTAAACTTCAACCTGAAACCAAATGGTCCACAATTAGGAAAGACAAAGGTGGCTGAGCCCTAACTGGTTTGGCTCAGTGGATAGAGCGTCGGCCTATGGACTGAAGGGTCCCGGGTTCGATTCCAGTCAAGGGCATATACCTTGGTTGTGGGCACATCCTCAGTATGGGGTGTGCAGGAGGCAGCTGATAGATGTTTTTTTTAACTATCTACCCCTCTCCCTTCATCTCTCTCTAAAAATCAGTAAAAATATATATTTTTAAAAAGAAAATAAAGTAAGCCATTCTCTTAAGAAAGAACCGGGTATTGCCCTAACCCAGTGGACGGCAAACTGTGGCTCCCGGCAGGATGTGTGGTTAAGCATAACCAATGGACATAAGACACTGGGGGATGGGGGAGGCTAGGGGACTGTCTTGGGCGGGGGGAAAAAATGGACACATATGTAATACCCTGTAATAAAAAATAAAAAAAAAATAAAAAAAATGTTTCCGCTTTGCTGAAGGTTGCCTTTCCCCCCTTTTGTGAGAGTATGTCTGTCCCGGGATACTGTCTCCAATGATTAAGAAAGTCTTGAACAACGACATATTGAATGATGGAAAGCCACGTGGAGAAAGGGCCTGGAAAGTGAGAAGTCATTTTGGACATTTCAGCGGCAAGTGAATTCCCAGCTTAATGTAACCACTGGGGTGACTCCAGTGGAACAGATCAACCTAGCTGATCCTCGTCCATCCACAGAATCATGAGAAATAAATAGTAGTCATCACACACACACAAAAAGAAAGCCTTGAATAAAACCTGCGCTTGTGTCTGAACTTAGAAATCATTGCTAATTACCTTTGTGGGATTAAAAAGAAAGAAAGAAAGAAAGAATACTTTCACCATTTGTAAATTAGACAAAATGAAACATTTGCCTTGAAAAACATTTTGGAGTCTTTTTTATTGCTTGAAATAGTTGAGTTTCCATTTCCTTTGCTTGTAAAATATTGATGTACTCACCATACCATCTTGCTTACTTTCTAAGGCACAGACAAATTCGTGGATATAAGAAATGATTTTGAGATAACATTTTTAAAATATGGAAATAGTAAGTGGATGGAGAATCTGAAAATACTTGATGAAATGATTGGAAACCAAGTATCTTTCTGGACAGGAAATCTTGGGTTCAGATGACAACTCATCTTTTACTCTTTAACCTCATTCAGATATATTTTATTACAATGTGTTCATAAACATAGCTGGTAACTAATAAAAAAAAACACTGCTGAAGAAATCAGGTATAAATATGTCAAGGAGTTTTTTTGTTTTGTTTGTTTTTTGTGCAGGCAACTAAATAGCATCTATTGCTTGCTATAAAAGCCAACTAGTGAAGCTTTCAAGGAGGCAGCATAGACCTGTCAAATTTAAGTATCAGGATGTGAGCTTTAGTTAATGTAAAATGTGGATCAAAAGGGGTGGTTAGGTGGGTGGTAAGAGATTTTGTGTTCCTAACCTGATCTGCTTCATTTCTTCTCTTCCTGCTGTAGTTATACACCTCCTGGAATAACAACATGTTCCTTTCCGTGTAAGACATATCTGTTTTGTTTTTCTTTTACTTAAAGCAGCGATGATGGAAGAATTAACCTCCCTCCTCCACTCTCCCACCCCCAGTTAGAAAGACACATGTTTTGTACTCCCAGAACTTAGTCACTGCACTTTCTTGGTAAATAGATTTCCTTCTGAGTCATGCTATTC